CGCTACAGTATAAAAACCTAAACATGGTTTGACTTTCTTTCCTCTTCTTCCTCTTCCTCTTCTTCCTCTTCCTCTTCTCTCTCTTCATTCCCTCATATCCCTATAAAATATACTATATACCCAAAGTTGTACTAAAGGTTATACTAAAGCTATACTAAAAGCTGTTTAGAGGAAGAGGTTAACTGCCTCCCCCTGAGGATCTTATCAGCTATATCACAGACAGTTATTTAAAAAGTATACCCAAGACAATATTCAATATACGGCGGCCTCATACGACTGCATGCCTTATCCGTGGCCGACAGATGCAGACCGAGACCCCTCCAGTACACTCAATTAAAATGAAATATGGCTTCCTCACAAGAGGCACTTTTCAGCCTCGAAGCAGTGCTATTTCACAAAATATTTAGCTACATAATATTTCACGGATTATATAGTGTCCATCACAGCTATAATACTTGTTGATGTGCATCTTAGAGGAGTCTAGAAGTTCAATACGTTCTACCTCTCTCGTTGACGCAAAGTAGTAGATACCAGTACGTTTCTCCTTTGACTTGACTACCACGGGTATCTACTCACTGTTACATTCATCTAGGCATTACTTTGCTCAGACAAGTCTTACATCAAATGCCTTTCCTTCATCCCAACGGCAGCAGGTTACGGCTCATACACGCAGGCATAGGCCTGCAATACGCTACTGACGACCTACACTCGTGGTCCCGTTGGCTTTAACCTGCACTATGCATGTGCGGCGGCGGTATTTATGGAGCTGGCAGATAATATAAACACTGTGCTGTTGGCATCTGCTGAGTACATTAACGAACTCATACATGATACTTCCCGGGCTATGCTGGGGTTCTCGTTCATCTCTTGAACATACTCAACGTATCGCCTTTCTATTACACTCGCTTCTATGACTTGAACCCTTCGAACTCGTGAGACTCGGAAACTCCCTTCGACAACGGGAAATTTTGCCAAACCTGCCTGCGGCTCTACCCTAATAATGTTGACAACCCAGTACATGGAGGTGTGCCTACAAGACAACATACCATCCTGGCTGATGACATGGGTCTTGGGAGGATAATTGAGATCCTAACCACGATCCTGAAAGCATCCCAGAGAGGGTTTCAGGAGGAGGAAGGGCCATTTGTGCGACCAGGCGCCACTCTTCTATGCATCCCATCCCAGACTACCATCGTATGGTGGTCTGATGCTCAGCAATACTTTAAATCAAGCCTGCGAATGTTTTTTGTGGGTAGATCTTACCAGTGGACACTTCTGCGCTGGCTCCTGCTCCGCAAGTATCCCTACAGACATTTCCGTTCCAAGATACCAGGACAGTGCTTGACAGTTTTCCATAGCACCAAGCGTACGTTATCTTGCACGTTGTTTCGAATACAAGATGGCCTGTGTTGAGGTTTTTGCCTATCTTCGACACTGGTGTGATCCATCTAATCGAGGGTTCAAATATTGATAGCCCAAGTGATACTATGTTGGAATACTCCACTTTAGCTACGACTCGCACTCATTACCCAAGGATAACTTGGGGCATTAGGCCTTTTTGTCCCTTGTGGTCCAACATACTATCAGCCTTGCAGCTGGTCTGCTTAGATGCGCAAACCAAAATTCGAACCCGTTGATTTTATAACTTCCACTGACCATATCTACATAATCAACTCGTCCAATGCTTTTCTCCGGATCTACAACCTCCCGGTGACACGAGCCCTGCTCCCTTACTTCACCACTATACGCTCGACCCACCTTCTGGAAGGCTACTGGAGCTGCACTGCGCTATTGCCCGTATCTTGGAACTCAGCGCTGCGGAGACAAATATCGACCGCATCATCCGGGGCATGGCAGAGGTCTGGGTTCGGAGCGATGGCTCAGTTGAGCTTTGAAAGATTGTTGGGATGAAGCTAGGGGGTGGTTGGATGGTTAACAGATGAGGTCCCGTTAGCTGCGGTGACTCGGCTAATGTTAAAAAGAGCTAACTAATCAGGCAAAAATGCAAGTCCCAAAGATGAGATAGGCGCCCTGAAAATCCAGCCACAACATTGGCTGCTGACTCTTCCCAACCCTTTCCAGCTCACTGGCGTCATGCCGTGGAGTTTACCCTTTCTAGAAAGATGTCTGTAAGCACCGCAAACTATCCAAACCAGTGTGCCCTGTGATTGGCCTCTTAACTCCATCAATCCACATAAACCCGTAGTTATCTAATAGGATTCTACCTAACCTATAACTCTAGTTAAATATCCTATCTCTTCGCCTACTAAGAGGTTTATGTCATTTAGATCACCATGGCATAGTGCGCAGCAAAACTCGCTGCTAAGAGGAGATCTAGAGGCCAGATTGGCGGTAATGTAAGCAACACCAGACAGTCTTTCAATAACGTAGACAAATAATGAGTTATCAGCTAACTATACCCCTATATATCTGGGTCTTGGCTGCCAATTTGCAATAACTACAAGCTTCTAACTAGTTAGTTAACCAATTTGATGCCTGGCATGAGAATAACCATCAATCCGTTGAGAAACACCACCCAAATTCCTTGCCGGACACAGTGTCTTTGGCAGCAGGTGAATCTTCGGCAAGTGGTTCCTCAGCAAGCGGTTCCTCGGCAAGCAATTCTTCAGCAGGCAGTTCCTCAGCAAGCAGTTCTTCAGCAGTTGGGGACTCCTCAGCAGCGGCATGTTCTAGAGCAAAAACAGCCATTAGTATTGCTTCCATATATCGGGCATGTATTTATAAAAGCTTTAGTTACCTGCTCCAGTTCCATTTACCCGCTTAACGTTGGGTCGAAGGGAGGATAGTCGAGAAGAGTATATATCAACAACCATCTTAAAGACAGCCTTGTCAAAATCTTTGTTCTCCCCAAAAAGATCGTAAAACTCTTCACTTTTGAAAACATTCTCATCTCGTTCATATTCTATCGAGAGTCTTGTGTTGATATACCAAGGGAGCCATGCCTCGCCTTTAGGAAGCTTTGAAAAAATGCTTCTTGCCCCGTGTAGTATGTCGAAGATAGACGAAGACTCACTAAATTGCTTGATATTTACTTTGGCAAGTGTTTCAAGGCCTGTCAATCCATATATTTTGGCTGCACAGTATGCTTGAATGCTCCTTTGCATCTCCTTGGTTATATTCAAACCATCCATAGGCTCAGCTCCTAGCGTTTCATATTTGCCAGTATACAGGAAATGGATGATAGTGTGGCCGATATCCTCTTCAACGTCTGGTAGTGTTAATTCCACGCCAATTGATCGGTAATCCAGTAGCTCGTGTACCCGCAGAAAATCCTCCTGAATACTATATTCTTTGGACCCTATTGTGAGTAAGATTACCCGACTTTGATATGGGCTACAAAAGTCAGTGGTACTGAACTCGTTAATGACACCATAACTAAGTAATCAACTTACGACAACTGTGGCTGGTTGTAGTCGATTATTGGAGGCTCTACGATGGCTGCTGTTTCCTCAGCCATGTTGACGACTTTGTTAGAGCTAGCTTTTTTCTTCTTCTTCGCCATCGCTCGGGTTTTCTCCCAGAATATGGAAGGAAGATGGGAATCTGTAATTATTTGTACTTTTGGGAGATGCGGAGAGGAATGCAGGAGTGAGTTGTTCATCCAGCAATGCAGATACCTAAACGAGTCTCGTTGAACTAACTACCAATCAGATGGCACCAAGATGTAGGGCGAGTTATCCATGGCAGCAAACCGATAGCTGATTTTTTTTATAATAAGGCATCACTGCAAAAAGTGTGGCAATGATCATGAAGAAGTAAAGTCTTTTGTGTATTTGTATGTACAGGAGAGCTTGCCTGTCATTCCTGAGTTGCTATTTAACTAGTTAGTTACCGCGAAACTCTCGAAGAGACTTGTCCCCACTGTGAACTAACTAACTTAGATCGCTATCAAAAATGGGCCCACTAAGCAAATATTGCTCAATTATTCGCCATTTAGGCGGAGATTTCAATCAATATAGTCGGTTTTAGTTAAGGAATGAGGAATATGCTTAATTTTGGCTTCCGCACGGCTAAATGACCGAAACTCCTCATGTAAATTTACTCACAAGTAACTTTTGTCCTAGAATGGCCTGTCAAAAGACTACGCCCTTTACCACGTACTAAAAACTTCCATGAACTATATTACTATGGAATACGTCGAGGGAAAGACTCTAGATACAGAATGGAAATCATTATCAGATCGAGAAAAAGAGGGTATTGTTTCAACCCTCAAGCAATATTTCATAGAGCTACGCAAACTTCTCTCGCCAGGTTACTTCGGCTCCCTGGGTAGACGCCGTATGCCAGGTGGAATGATTTGGACCCCTGAGCCAACCCCTGAAATAAACGGGCCGTTCGAAAACGAGGCTGACCTGAACGAGGCATAGGCACTCAAGTACGTCGCCGAATCGGAGTATCGATCAGCATTCAGGGCAGAGTTTTACCATCGCGCCCTATCAAGTGTGTTTCGGGGCCATGAATCGAAATTCACACATTGGAACTTTCAACGGAAAACGTGATCATTAGGGGCCGTCCGTACAACTATTTTAGCAAAGATGGCACCGGTCTGGGAGATGAGAAGACGTATGAGGTCACACTCATCGACTGGGAGACATCGAGATGGTACCCAAGCTACTGGGAGTATTTCATGGCAGCATTAGCTACACGGTGGGAAGATGATTGGGTGCCTGGTTAGTTCGTACGATAGAGCTGTTTGATGTTGAGTTCCCAAGGCTACAAATGTTGTATTTGGAACTGTGGTCATAATATCAATACGTATAACTATTGTGACATGTATGTTTTTACTAAGTAACTAGTTAGTTAGCTAACGGTTAGGTACTATCATCTCGCACCATACGAAGTTTATATTGAAATCAGGAGAGCCTTATATTATGCAATGATACTATTAAATCTACGGAGTATAGAGTAGTCTATTATCAGGTAACTACCACACTAGAAATTCCCTAACTTTAACTCTGTAGTAAACAGAACTAAATCTTCGTCAGAGTATATGTTGCTCTATATACACATATCCTCAGTCCTTAGATGGCCGATTCTTATTGATATCTTCCAAAATTGTAGCAGCACCCGCCTTTAACATTCGTGCAGCTAATTCTTGTCCCAGGACAGTAGCCTCATCTTTGGTATGCACCGCCGCATTAATACTGTCTTCAACACATTGAGAACCGTCAAGGCTAACAACTATTGCTCTCATCTCCAGGATCGGATCAGCGGCCTCTCCTTCATCAAGCCACTCTGTTTCAACACCAATTGGAACGCTGCAGCCACCCTCGAGCGTACGCATTAGAGCACGCTCGGCAAGACATGCAAGACTTGACTTGTGGTCTACTAGCTGATCTAGCAGATGTAGGATTTTAGTGTCACCCTTCCGGACCTCGAGGCCGAGTGCACCTTGACCAATAGCATGTAGAATCCCCCCATCCTTAGAGCCTAGCCGTTGGCTAATACGATAACCAAGCCCAATACGTTCAAGCCCACAAGCTGACATTACTATGCAGGTATACTCGCTCTGAGGATCATCGAGCTTTGCTAAGCGAGTTTCAACGTTACCGCGTATATTTGTAAAACGTAGACTAGGGAATAAACGGTGAAGCTGAGCAGAGCGACGTACTGAAGAGGTGCCAATAATAGCACCTTCAGGTAGTGTTTGTAAGCTTGTATATGGTAGGCCAGCCTTCACAATTAGAGCATCACGCGGATCATCACGGAGAGGGATGGCAGCCAAGTCACAGCTATCCGGGAGGTTTGTGGGCATATCTGACTGAAAGTTAGACAGGCAATCTCATATGGCTGTATATTCTTTATATTTCGCTTTAAATAGAAGGTAACATTTTTAGAGCACTCGCCTTTGAGACAATGTACGATAACGTCTAGTTTGCCAGAAGTAAGCAATTCCTCTAGCTCTGTTGTCCATAGATTCTTTGCGCCGAAATTATAGAGAGCACTATTTTGATCCTTATCTCCAAGGGTATGGAGTGCTTCAATCTCAAAAGTGTGGTCTGGTGCAATCTTCTGCAGCTGATCTTGGACGCCCTTAGCCTGGACAATGGCAAGATTGGATCTTCGGGTTCCAATTCGCAATGGCATGTTAGCAACGGAGGTATCTGCCATAACTAATGAAGAAGTACTATTGAGAATAGTTAGTGTTTGACCTTCGCCGGACCTTAATGCCTTATTTAACTCACAGATGGAGGGGCAATCAAGGCTATTGAGCAGTTTTGGAGGGTCTGTAAGAGGTAACTCTGCCACGGTTTAGACCAGATGGCCTCAAGGAGTTGATTAATGCGGGGGTTCCTAGACTCTTAACTAGTTAGCTAGTTAGTTAATGATGGCTCTAAAGACGTCTCTTGAGCTCTAGGATTTGCCGTGGGCTGATGCTGACTATTTGGAATATACTAAGTTACATGTCCTGGTTCAGTAACTCGGGGTTAACTAGTTAAATAACTAGTTAGCTCTATCAGGTTAGTGGCTGCAGAGATTTTACCAGGGGGATCTGGGGGTCCCATTCTCGCAAGCTGGTAGCATCAAGGGACTGGGCCACATCTGTCATTTCGGGCTTTCGGCGGGGTACTCCGTAGATACATCTATTAGTTAACTACATACGGTACTTATAGTTATATTCTACACATTGGTCGAAGCTGCTTCGTTACCTCTTCTGCTTCCCTGCTTCCGGACTCCAATGCACCCTCCATATATCCCTTCCATTCCATGGCAGTCTCGGTGCCAGCAAAGTGAATGTGCCCAAAGGGCTCCGTGAGGCAGCTACCAACCTTCGCCAGTACCCCTGGTGGTGTGTAGGGGCATGGGCAACCCAGGCTCCACTCCTCAGACGACCACTGCTGTTCGATGTACTCTGCTGGCTGAAGGGCGTCGGTGCTGCCAAAGAGCTTGGCTAGCTGGACCAGGGCGGCCCTTTGTCTCCCAGGGGCGCTCAGTCGTGACCATTCTTCCCCTGGAGCACCAGCGATGAAGCTGGTAAGGCGAAACAAGGATATGGAGTCTTCACTTGTATCTCGCGTCGCTGCTGCGGGGCCACAGAAGGATTGGGATGCTCCGCTGAGGCCGTTCTCTCTCCACCATGGCCGGCTGTATGTCACCAGGACCTTGGTATAATAACCCAGCCTTGTTGAACGAGCAAGGAGCGCCTTTCTAGGAGGCAGCGTTGGCACAAACGTCAACTTCTGATAAAGCGGAGTTGAGAAGGCTAAAATGACCTTTTGCCCACGGAATATGCGACCATCAACGCTAAACACCTCTACGCCATGCTCGTTCTGCGCGATTGACGTTACAGCAGTATTCAGCTTTACGCTGTTAGCTGGCAACGATTGCGCAAGACCCTCAGAGATAGATTGTGTTCCTGTAATATCAGTTAGTGCGAAGATCTACGGAGTATCGTATGGAGCATGCATTGACCTGTCTTGATGGTAACGTATTTGCCCTGCATTTTGGCCGACCTCATCTTCATGAGTCCACCCTGACTCTTGCAGTAGACGAAAAAATATGCTGCACTTAGCTCGCTAGGCTCGCAGCCTAGCATGACCCGTGTCCATACAGCAACGTTAGCCAGCGTGACGAGGCTGCCACTACGACTGCAAACAAATTCCTCGAGGGTCACTTCATCATGAGGGCAGCCGTCAAGCTTTTCAAGGTCTAGTGCACTATACTCTTCCTCGAACATTTCCTTCATTCGTTTAATCACTTCCGCTTCGCCATCTGGGAGCTGTGGTGTTATTAGCTCAGGGCTCCTGCCAGGGGGGCTTGCAACTTACCACAGCTTGTTCACCGTAAGCATGTCTAATCATCTCATGATTGAAGCTTTCCAAGATGGAATCGCCCTGTACATTGACATCGTTAAACTCAAGTCCCAGTTTCTCCGCGAGCTGGTACACTCGTGGCTGTGTCGTTTGGTTAAGCCACTCTCCACCCAAGTCTGCAACTCCGACACCGTTTCTATGTTCATGGGAAACACTCCAAGTCTTTCCACCGACGCGGGACCGGGCCTCGAGAACAACTGTCGTGATTCCAGTCTCCCTGAGTGAATGTGCGGCTTGCAGGCCAGATAACCCAGCCCCAACAATAATGACCTCAGCTGTGTGTTGCATAGTTCAGAAGATATTTGACCTGAGGCCTTGTACGCAGCCAGAAAACAGGTTTCAAGGACATGCTAGCTCTCTGGCATCCGTTATTAACACCTAATTACTTTTTGATCTGGAAATGCATCGTGCCATACGGAAACACCGCATGTCGTGGAATAACGTACGCAAGACTTTGACATGCAAAGGATGTTCTGGCCCACTTTCTAGCTTCGGAATCTCCGAACTGGCAACATATTCACAGCAATACCCTTAAGCCCCGAGATCTGAACGGAAAATCCTTACTTGGGCTTGTTGAAGACCCCGAAGCTGGCCCCCGTTGAGACTGTCCTAGTAACCAACTGTGCTTTCCATACCCTTGTCAATACCTTAAAATATCTCATATCCGTGCCTAGTGAGATGGTTAGCATGGATGGTATTCATTCTGGAGCATGAGCCTTGTAGAATCGGCGATATACCGGCTAGCTGAGAATGAGATCATCGATTGCTCCCTGACTATGACACAGTACAAAAAGCTCCTGCTATCCGGGTCTGGCCCCTTGAGCTCCAAGCGGAGAATTACTTGCCTAGCCTCTCTATTAGCTAAATATGCCGGCATCAGTACCAGATTGTGTGCCTTCAGGCGTTGCTGACCGCTCTCAGTGGCCACGAGATGGCACTGCCAGTATTGGCAGCCAGCTCAAAAGCGGGTACAACCATGCAGTGTCCGCCATGTGGCAGTCTGAGAAGCTCTTACACAAGGTGATTGCCTTTCTTCTCACCTGAGTTTACATAGACGATGAGTAACCTGATTGTATGCTGACAATTGCCAGTCCATGTTTATCTACCCCGTTTTCTTGTCCGCCGACCCAGAGATGGAAGAGCCGATCACCAGTCTTCCAAACCAGCACAGGAGAGGAATCAACAAGCTAATCCCATTTCTCGAAACCCTTGTCGCCAAGGGACTCCATTCAATCCTGCTGTTTGGCTCACCTCCGAGCACTGATTTGAAAGATGGCTCTGGCTCCCTAGCGGACGATATTAGAGGCCCTATCTTACCCGCAATCCCACTTATTCGCGAGGCGTTTCCTGACCTATACATCGTCGCTGATGTTAGTCTTTGCGAGTACACGGATCACGGCCATTGTGCCGTGCTCTTTAAGGACGGCACGGTTGATAACGAGGCTTCTGTTGCCCGTATCTCGGATATTGCGCTTTCTTTCGCCCAGGCCGGTGTGCACTGTGTAGCTCCTTCAGACATGAGCGACGGCCGCATCCGTGCTATCAAACTAAAGCTTATCAGTGCCCGTCTCGAAAGCAAAGTAGCAGTTATGTCGTACGCAGCCAAGTATGCTAGCTGCCTTTACGGGCCATTCCGTGAGGCCGCGGCATCCACGCCTCGCTTTGGAGATCGCAAACGCTATCTATTGCCGCCCCCTGCACGGGGACTCGCTCGAAAGGCGATGACACGCGATTTGCGAGAAGGTGCTGATATGATTATGGTGAAACCTGCGTACCCAGATATTATCAGTGATGGCAAAGAACTTTCTGAGGTGCCCGTTGTTGCCATGCAGGTCTCGGGCGAGTTTGCTATGGTGCATGCTGCGGCTGCAGCAGGGGTTTTCGATTTAAAGGAGATGGCTTTTGAAACTTCAGAAATCATTGTGCGTGCTGGTGCTGATGCTATCGTCAGCTACTTTACTCCAGAATTCCTCGACTGGCTATCTTGACCCGAGTCCGAGTGTGTCTGGAGGGGGCCTTGACTTCTTGTACAACCTCAGGGATTAAGGAGAAGAATAGAACAGCTTTTAAATATATTACGGATACTAAATAAATCAAACCTTGTGCTGTGATGTCTCTGGAGGCTATGTAACGTAATAAACATGCAATGCTGGCCACTGCCGTAACGATAACAGTTAGAGTAGGTAACGAAATCAACTTCTTTCACCCAGTTCGGAACCTACCCGGGTACAAGCAGAGTTACGCGACTAGTTACAGCCTCTGCAAGATATAGTGGAGGAAGAAGACACCTTTTCACCCAAATAACAAATAAATAACCATAGGAGGGAGTAGTATAGCAATAATAGCAATAGAAATGAATAGTACTTAAAAAAACACAGACTAGAATAACAAGGTATCCGGAAGTTGTACTGAAACTAGGGGAGGAATGTGTGGCTTATGAGCGGCCCCGACGGCCAGGCTAAGCTGCTCGTCCGTCCAAAGCTGCTTTACTACTGAAGCATTCTCTCTCCACGCGCCTGCTCGTTGCCAGTCTGATGCTTTGCGCAAGTTCAGGCGCTCCCATATTTCTACCAACGCCCTGACAAAAGCATCTTGCTGGGCTGGGCTGTGACTGGCTGTGGGATTTACGCGAAGTCGCTCCATCCCAACCGCAACCGATGGGCTATTGATGGGCTGAACGTAGATGTCATATTCTTCGAACAAGATATCGGCGACACGGCGAGTGAGCTCAGCATCGCCAACCATGACAGGTACCAGGTGTGATCGGTTCGGTAGTACGGGGAGATCAAACTGCGCCATCTTCTGTTTCACAGCGGCGACGTTTCGCTGCAGTGCAATCCTCCCTTCAATGTTATGCAGCTGGTATTGGATGGCGGCGTGCGCGCCTGCTACGACGGCCGGCGACTGAGACGTCGAGAAGATGAACGCCCTGGAAACAGAGCGGACCATATCTATTAGATATTTGGAGCCCGCAATATAACCGCCCATTGTGCCGAGGCCTTTACTGGTACCTCCACTGATAACGTTTATGCGGTCGACCGTGGTTCTCCCGTCACATAGATTGGACTGGTGGGCGACAAAATCCAAGTGTTCCCCGACGCCAGCTCCGCGAGGGCCATAGAGACCAATCGCATGCGCCTCATCCATAAATGTCATTGCCCCGTACCTTTCAGCAAGGTCACAGATCTCAGCAATAGGAGCAATCGTGCCTTACATTAGTTAGTTAGGAAATCAGCAAGGAACCTGACTAGTGGAAAGTCAAGGGTAGGGGTACACACCACACATGGAATATACCGATTCAAACACGATAATCTTGGGCACTTCTCTGGGATACTGTGCTAGCAAGCTCTCTAAGCTGCTCAAGTTATTATGCTTCCAGATATGACGCTTGGCCTTGGAATGCCGGATACCCTCGATCATAGATGCATGATTTAACTCGTCTGAGAAGATGACACAGCCAGGTATTTGGGAACCTAAGGTCGAGAGCGCTGTCTCGTTGGCAGTAAATCCGGAGCTAAAATAGAGGGCTGCCGGCTTTTTATGCAGTTCTGCAAGGCTCGCTTCCAAGGCTTCCATCAGAGGACTATGTCCAGCGATGTTTCGTGATCCCCCGGCATTCGCCCCATATGTGTTCAACGCGTTTTGCATAGCTGCTAATACAGCGGAATTGCTACCCATTGCCAACTGTGTAAAACGTTAGGCTCGTCTCTAGGGCACACAGTTTTATGGTACGTACATAGTCATTGGAACACCAGACGTTGACTTTTTTCCCGGTTGTGGCGCATTGTGCAAAGGGAAATTCGTTATGCAGACGTGAAATGCTGCGAAAATAGCGGTATGACTTATCCTCCTTCTTTTTCTCTATTATGGACTGATAAAAGTCCTCATACGCGAATGTTCTTGGCTCAGCGGGTAGATCTGGATCTGGAAGAATAGCACGCGCGACAACGCCTGTCCTGAAGTCAGAAACCATATCTGGATATCGTGTAAAGCGGCTTTTATTTTATAACTACTTACCGTAGCAGCATCGTTGCCCCGTTGACAAGGCTTGGGCTCGCCGTGCAAACCGTTTGTGAAATGCCTGTAAGGTCATGGTCAATAAGTTTTACTTCAACCAGTACGAGTGCCGTTCTCATGGAGTCGACGCTTGAAGGCGAGAAACATTATCGATCCGTTTTGCCAGGGTAAACTCTGCAATAAAAGAGAAATTGGATTCGTGACTACTGTTCTATTTCCACTTGCTCTTCAAGCAATCACCTGTTGATGTGGATGGTGACAGTATACATCCTCTGTTGACCCGGGACCCGAAGGACTTGACTGCATACTGACAGCGCTGACCCTGGCTCTGCGTGTTGTCCCCTTTCGCTTTAAGCCCGAACGGAGGCTCTTGTCACGTTCAAGCTTAAGCCTCGGAAGTCAGATACATCATACCGCTCTTACCCCAGTGATTAACTCTATAACTAACTAGTTAAGGTTCTTACCGGGACGGGCCGTCGGAGTTTCCGTCATCCCTGTCAGACCGACACGGAGGATGCCAAGGCCCGTGTAACTAACTACGGGAAACGGCCCTAGCTAAGAGGCGGCCCCGAAGGTCAATTCACAGAGAGTGGAATCTTAGGGGGTAGCCTCTTATTTGCTCTTTTTTTCCTTTGGTTACGTCTTATTTTTCCTCGCTAAAAAGCTTTGGTGGAATTGCTCAGAGCGCAGTTGACAATCGTTTCCTTGTTCTAGTGCCTTAGGTTCCTGAGTGGTCATCGGCAACTGTGCCTTTCTACCAGTTAACGCATCCAAAAATCATCCCGACTCCAAAAACGATGACCAACTCTATGAGAAATGAAAGGATGAAGGACGCGGGTGAGGAAACCGAAATTCTGGATCACCAACTTACGGGTATACCAACAGGTAAACAAACTCCAAGCATCTTTAGTTTTGCCACACCTCTTGATTTCGCAACTATATTTATTAGCTGTATTGCTGCGATTATTGCTGGGGGCCTCAATCCTCTTTTGACGGTATGTTTCGGGTCCCATTCTGCAGTTCGCTGCCTGTCGCTCTAACACTGAACTAGGTCTTATATGGACGGCTTGTTGGCTCTTTCAATGCATTTCAAAATGGCACAATATCTCCTTCGACACTCAGATATGATATCTCGACTTTCACGTTATACTTCGTGTACCTTGCAATTGGGATGTTCGCCTCTACATATATCACCACGATCGGATTCTACTACACGGGAGAGCGAATTACCAGAGCTTTGAGGAAAACGTACCTTAAATCCATTATGCGACAAAACATTGCTTATTTTGACACTTTGGGTGTTGGGGAGCTTACAACTCACATTACTTCCGATATTTCCCTGATTCAAGAGGGCCTGACCGGGAATCTTTCTGTCAGCTTAACCGCCGCTGCCACCTTTATCTCTGCATTTGTCATTACGTTTGTTGAATATTGGAAACTTGCGCTCATTCTTACCTCTACCATTGTGGTGCTTACCCTCATTGGCACAATGAGTGTTGCATTGCCTATCAAATGGACTAAGGAGTCACTCGCATGCTATAGCCGCAGTGCAAATGTTGCAGAGGAAGCAATAAGCTCTATTAGGCATGTCACAGCATTTGGAATCCAAGAAAGTATGGTTAAGCGATATGATACCTATCTCAAACTTGCGGAGCGGCCAGCTCTCAAGGCCGGTATGATTACTGCAATCATGATTGGAGCAGTTAACGCAGTTCCTTATCTTAGCTATGGATTGTCATTTTGGGAAGGATCTCGGCTACTTGTTGATGGGGAAATGACAGTTTCAGGCATTACAACATCAACTCTAGCTATTGTTATTGGCGCTTGGGCCGTTGGAAGAGTAGCTCCAAATGTAAAGAGTTTTGTTTCTAGTATTGCCAGCGCTGCTGCAATTTTAGAACTCATCGCACGACAGTCACCACAGGATCCATTCTCTGAAAAAGGCTTACGCCTCGAAAAAAACATACTTGACATTACGTTCCGGAACATATCCCTAATCTACCCATCCCGACGCGAAGTTACTGTTCTAAAAGACTTCGATCTGGTGATTCCGGCATCCAAAACCACGGCAATTGTCGGGTCATCTGGGTGTGGAAAGAGTAGCATAATTGGGCTTATTGAGAGATTCTACCTACCAACAAAAGGAGAGATATGTATGTGAGCTTTCTGCGAGTGAAATACCAGCATACGCTAATGTATATGTTTCAAGTGTTTGGCAGCCACAATATAAATACGCTCAATTTGAAATGGCTGCGCAGTCAGATAGCTCTGGTCGGGCAAGAGCCAATACTGTTCAACACGACAATATTTGAGAATATCATCTATGGCTTGGGAGAAAAAGGTGGCTCTTTAGGGAGCGCGGAGCTCAAAACTTTGGTGGAAGAAGCGTCTAGAAAAGCAAACGCACATGACTTCATTTTAAGCCTACCCGAAGGCTATCAAACGGAAGTTGGCGAAAAGGGAACTCAGCTATCAGGAGGTCAAAAACAGAGGATTTGCATTGCACGAGCACTTATCAGAGACCCTCAGATTTTACTCCTTGACGAAGCCACATCTGCTCTGGATGTGGGAGCAGAACGAGCAGTCCAAAAGGCCTTGTTAATAGCCGCAAAGGGCAGGACTACTCTGGTCATTGCTCATAGACTCTCCACTATTCGAGATGCAGACAATATTGTTGTGATGTCAGATGGTCACATTATCGAGCAAGGAACCCATAATGAGTTGATGTCAAAGCAGGGTCACTATGCAGAACTTGTGGGAAAACAACAAAACTCTAACCAGGCCGTTGAAAACAAACCTACCACTGATATTAGTGGCACAGAGTTTGACCTTGAGGTATCTTCGGAGAAGAACAGCGTCTCCGACCACCCTCCGGACGAAAAAATTGAGAGTGTCTCTTTCAACTTATCGCAAAGTCGGTCAAACACTGCTTCATTGGAATCCACTCAAAAACTGAAGTCCTCGTTTTCCTGGAGCAAAATGTCAATTGCTCTAAAATTTATTGCAAAGCTAAGTGGGCCGGAAATTATACCCATCTTTGTTGCAACAGTTCTGGCTATCCTCGCAGGGCTGAGTGTTCCTGGGTACGTTATTCAATTAATTAATTCAAAGGTTGATACAAAGACAAGCTAATAGTTATTATGTCATAGCCAATCTATAATCTTTGCCAAATTAATCGAGGCATTGTCTTTGACTTCTGCTCGTGCGCTGCGGGACGGAGTGGACTTTTGGGCGTTGATGTATTTGGTGCTAGGATTGAGTATTTTTGCAGTTTGGCTGGGCCACGGCATCATCTTTGCCCACACCACAGAGAAACTTACCCATCGTGCACGGCAGCAGACTTTCCGCCATATCCTCCGCCAGAACATTGCGTTCTTTGTTGAAGAGCAGAACTCAATTGGAGCCCTAACGTCCCTTCTGTCATCAGCACCCACGGACCTAAGCGGGCTAAGCGGTCCAGTGTTAGGGGCAATCTTAACATTCCTTGCAACTATCCTGGGAGGAATTGCACTTTCACTAGCTATAGGATGGAATTGGCCCTTGTTTGCACTTCGACCATACCATTTGTAGCGGGCTTTGGTTGGTGCGACTAGCAATGTTGACATT